TACATTTCCTTTATGATACCTGTCTTGCCTCAATTTTCATTCAGTATTGAGTTGTTCAGCTTCCACAAGTTTGTACATTTTCTGCCATTTTAACTTTTGTAGATATTCAATTTTTTACATCCATGGTGATCAAATAGAGTACAGGGTGTTGTTTAATTTTTTCCTAACTGTTGAGACTTGCTTTTTGAACTTGTAAGAGACCAGGGAAGACCAAAGAAGAGGATATTTTCCAAGGAAGGGAAATAGAACATAGTGCTACAAAAAGATACAAGGCAAACAAGGATAGGAGTATTGAGTGGGAAGAGAGATGGGTAAGCAGGATAAAGGAGAGAATTTGGAGAGATACAGCTAGCACTAAAGGCATTTTGAAAAACTATTTGGAGATCTATAACCATTGAATCTCCCTAATACATATTTTAGATATTATTAATATATATGTGAAAGAAACTTAAAGGAATTCACCATATAAGGGGAGACAATGCCGAGTCAAGACATCTTATGCTACCAAGTAAAACCTCCAATGTAAGGAATGGGTTACATCTTGCTAAGTCATTGGCCAAAAGGGTCTCATAGAAACCCCCACCCAAACATCATGAGCTATTTTCAAGGCTTTTGGTTATCTCTGTAAACTGGTTGTAAGGTCATATTGACAACAGAGCTTACTTGGGTCATTCAGCATGAAGAAATTGAGCTGTTGCCAACTAGAAGCTTCACCCTACTGATAAATGCCCGTGGTTATAGAAGGTACTCTGCATATCACTGGAAGAGAAAAGTAGGCATCAGTATTACACAGCTATAAACCCCATGAGCTAAAACAGTGACCAGCATCCAAGATATATTAGTGCAATAGTGGTACACATATTATTGGAGTAACCAAACATTTTCTGATTGGATTTGAGGTCCATTGTATGAGATGGGCCCCATATATGATACTTTAAAAGTGCCCAGGAACCTAAGACTAAACACATCATAGACCTAAGGGGAAAACTCAATACCATTAGCCTGCTAAAAGAACGAATTAAAATGGCTCCTGATGACATATTGTTATACCCATAGAGCAGACAGCATTGCCAAGACCACGTCAAAGAAGTGTTTTCTTGCAGTAGATGGCAATTAGCAAAGAGATCCACAACTACACAATGTTCAGAGAATGAAAGACTTTGGAGAAATCAGGCCTAAATCAACAGTAGTGATATACATATGTATACAAAGAGATTGTGACAGCATGTACAAGGTTTAAACCCAACAAAATCCCAGCACTAAGAATGGGAATTAGACACAAAATTCCACCCTTAACAAGAAGCTATTTGCAATTGATACAAATGCAATAAGAATATCAGTTTTCTTCAGTGGCATGTCCATGGCTATATAAACCACATTCTAGGACTGGTCCCATGCTTAGGAGTAGATGGTCAACACAAAAGTGACACCATGCTCTTGTTTTTGTTGTGTTTTTTTTTATTTTTTTGGACTTTTTGATTAATTTGGGTGGGGTATTTTTGCATTATTGATATTAATTTATTGCCTTCTTTTGTTTGTTGTTTTGATTTTTATCTTTTGATTTTTTTCCTGTTTTTCTTTGAGGGGTGAGGTAGGGGAGAGAAGAAACAAGGAGTGGGTAGGGAGGTAGTGGGGAATCTAAGAGAAACTGGAGAGAAGATATGATCAAACTATGTAGTATGAAATGTTTTTTAAATAAAAGTTTTAAAAAGAAAAATATGAACAAACATTGGCAAGAATATGGGGAAAGGCTCTTTCTGTTATTTCTCACTGTCTCACTTTCTCTTCTGTCTCTGTCTCTGTCTCTGTCTCTGTCTCTTCTCTATCCCCTCTCTCTCTCTTCCTTTCCCTTACTTGCTTCTCTTTCCTCAATAAACTTCCTACATTAGTTCTGAAAAAAAAAGAATATGGGGAAAAAGTAAATACTCAGACACTGGTAATAATGATATAAACTAGCTATGCCCCTATGGAAATCAGTATGAAGGAGCCTCTGAAAACTCATGTAAAACTCATATAGTATTTGATTTTTAGTTTTCAGAGGTTCCTTCATGGCAACACTATTCACAATAGCTAAATTATAGAAATAGCCTAACTGTCCACCAACACATATATCTACAATGCACCCCCTATAAATTATGGCTCACAAAAAATAAAATAAGAACAGAAAGATTTTAAAAGCCAGAGGACCAGGACACCCACTGCTAGATACTCTCTTCAACTCATGATAAGAAAGCTCCACTCTTGAAATGTCAGCAATATGACTTCCTAAAGAAAGCCAAATGATACCAGTTGACCAGTTAACATGACCATTTAAAGGGGGGGTTCAAAAGTTTCCACTCCTGAACCAAGAGCTACCGACAATTAACTGCTACTGAGAGAGGGAAAATCATTTTTTCCAGAAGTAAGATTTCCAAGTGGTTACCCAAAACACATGTACACAGGAGAAACACTAAATGGACTCAGTAGAGAGTGTGTATGTGTGTCTGTCTGTCTGTGTGTTATGTAACAATATTAAAGAGGAAAATGTCATGAGAGGGATAGGGAGAGATGTGCAATGAGTTGGAAAATAATGGGAGGGAGAGATGAAAATGATTTAAATATGATACTCATATGAAATTCTTTAAAAACAAAAATTTAAATGAAAGGAAGGTGTGGTATAGATGTACAAAGGAATTTTATTTTGTCATAAAGAATCAAATTATTCAATATACAGGAAAAACTGATCCAACTTCAGTTTATTATTTTAACCAAATTAAATCAAATTAAAAAAGACAAATACTATGTTTTTTTCTATGATTGATGGGTCCTATATACCACACAATATATAATATCATGTACATAAACATGTATGGCATAAAATAGAAGAGTAATTATCTAAGAGAATGAGAACACTAACAAGGGTGATAAGAAGAGACAGGAGAAAGGAAGAAAGGGGGAAGAAAGGGAGGGAGGCATAGCAATATATGTATTTATGAAGATTGATAAGAAATATAATATACAAAATCAAAAGACAACAGAATTTTACAAGGCTGGAAGTTGGGGTCAGAGGGAAAGGAATTTTACACTACAGATGGGAATGTAGATAAATTCAGTCCTTATTTAAAAAACCATGTGGATGTTCCTACGTCACAACATTGTCCTCCAGGCTAGCAGTGCTCAACCTGACACAGGGGTTTATATGAGATATCCTGCATAGCAGATTTTATATTATGATTCATAATAGAGCAAAATAACAATTATGAAGCATGAAAATTCTTTTATGGCTTGGGGTCACCTCAACATGAGGAATTGTATTAACAGGTTGCAGCATTAGGAAGGTTGAGAACCACTGCTCTAAGCAATACTTTTAGGTGTGTAAAGGAAATGAAATCATCACCATATAAAGGTTTCAAAAATCAAATCAACTAACTGGGATGGCTACAGGTTCCCCTACAACTAACCAAATGGATACCATGTCCAATAGCCAAATGTGGGTAGTGGTGAAGGATGGGTTAAAATCATATGGAGGATTGTAGGGGAAGCTGTAGCCACCGAGTTAAAATAGATAGTTAGGATGTGACATAAGCAGATTGTTATATCTTCTTATATTTTACCTTTATGATTGTTAATTTTGGATACTTTACACTGTTAAGTTTTAATCCTCTTTTAGACTAAAAGGGGAATTATAGGGGAAGTGTAGCCACACTTACTTAGGGGCTGGCTACAGGTGTGCCTAACCACGCTAGTGAGGGCGTGGTCAGGGTGACATAGAGCGATACTGCATTTTCTCTTTCGGTTTCACTTTGGTTCTCCCTTCCACGCCGGCTGGCTAGGTTGCTCTGTAAGTAAGGCTTTTCCCTATTAAATACCCTTATATTTCCACTTGGCTACGTATTGGTAATTTCCCACTATAGAGGACTTAGAGAAAAAAATTGTCCCCAGATATGTTGCTAGAGATGCTGACAGTAGGATACCTACTAGCATGGAACCATGGAAACCACTTGTTCAAAAGCAGTCTGTTTGGAGACATTTTAGGTTGTAACAGTCTGGAGTTGTGTGTGTTATAGCAGGTAATGAGGAGAGAGGCCATGGAGGGCACTATACAGCTTACCATGCATAGCCCTCACTCAAGCACTTTACAAATATATTTTCTAGTCTAAATTTCCAGTAGTGCTGAGATTGACAAATGTTCATCTAAAGAGAGTAGCCAACTGTCATATACATCTTTCAGAGTCCATAATTAATCAAGTGAATCAAACTGTCAAATATTTTTAATCAAGTATTTTAGACATAAGTCTAAAGCATCAAATAAAATTCAAAGGAAATTTCAGAATTATTTTACCTCATAGTTGCTAGTAATGATATAGCTAGACACATTCCTAAAGAAAAAGGTTGTAGAAGAAATTTTGATAATTTACTTACAACTGATAGGATGTTTGTAGTGGGAATCATATTGTTAGATTATGAGTATTCTGGGGAAATGGTTTAAAAACTTAACTGATGAGTAAATATTAATAAAGAGAAAAAAGCTTATTTAGAGTTAGCAGAAATTCCTCTTTAACTACTGACTGATGTAAATAGAACTACTTCCATACCATAATGGTCATCTCACTATCCAACCATAAGAAACCCAGCTTTGCAAATGTCCACCTGACTTTCTAACAATGGGGTTGTTCTTTTCTGCCTGTGCCTCAGTCTGTTTTATCAATGCGCTTTCCTACTTTTGTCTCATCTCTAGGGATCAAATGCTCCTAAGAACGAAGTATAATAAATTACTGGAAGTTATTTTGGTTCCTGTCAATTCAAGGTTTGGATTAATAATAAAACCAATTAAATCCTCAAATACCTCCAATGGCAACAATAAAAATTTAATTTCCAGGGAGCAGTAAGGTTAGCTATGCTGAACACCATATGCAATTATGTATTTTCAAACACTAGGGACTTCTACTACTTTGTCAAAGAAAAAAACACCTCACTGATTTGATCCAAGTGACAACAAAAGAACGTGTGTTCTTTCCTAGCTGTCTCGTGCATCTCTGATGATAACCAGTCTGCAGAAATGACAGAATGCCTCAAGCAGATGAATGGTATGCCTCCCCTGGTGCAAGAATGTACCATTCCCTGTCGAGAAGACTGCACTTTCACCCCTTGGTCTAAGTTTACACCCTGCTCCAAGAACTGTGAAGCAACCCAGATCAGGAGGCGGCAGCTTACAGGTAGGGTGTGCCTGCCATTACAGCTTCAGCCAAGACACACTGCTCCAAATACCTTATGTAGAACTTAAGTTCCAACAGAAATAAATGTGATACTGTATCTCCTTCCTTCCCACTCCAGTCCATATCCTTAAGACTTGCAGCAATGTCTGATATCTAACAGAAAAAATACGAGGCAAATATTTGTGAGATGAATGGAAAATAGGACCAGTGAAGTCAATAAAGTTTTCTATATAGTTTTATAATCTTTATACTCATAAGGTAAATTTTATGCAACAAATTACTTTGCATATCCCATGAAAAGTTCCTGGTGTATTATCTTAGCAAAAGTTTGGCAAGCTTAAAAACAGTTGCTGCTTTTTCTTTTTTTCAGAAAGAAGGTGAAATAACTGACATTATTGTCTTTTGCCAATACCTGATAAGCAATTTGACCCTTTCAGACTTTAATGGTATAAGGTAAAAGTCAAATTACATATGCGGATTCTTTTGTGTCTTACTACATTCTGTCAGAATGTAATAAGATACTGTGTATTTCTGCAAAGGTTAATAGAAATGGAAGCAGATCCTAGTTTAGTTGGCTCACTAGTGCATTTTTTTGCTGACAATATAAAAATAACTGCTGCAAAATTTCCTGTTTGTGTAGATAAGGCCATGTGATTTCTCTTAAGTGTATGTATATTTGTGTTTGTAGGAAACAAAACTCAGGAATGTAGAGCCAAAAGAAAAATGCCAGAATAATTATTGAGATAATACAATTGGCACCAACATTGAAGGACTGAGCACAGAGGATCATTGGTTTACGGAGGCAGCTTAAAGGCTCTTGGTTTCAAAAGCCACTGTTCAAGGGCACTGTTTATCTGATCACATTAATAATTCAACTCTCTAAGACTGGTTCACTTGATAAACTAGGGCTTTTGCTGAATTTCTGCATACATGCTGGACCTCAAAATCTACATGCCAAGTGAAGGTAAAATACATAATCACAAAAGAAGTTGCAAGTGAAGGATGCAGTACTTACTGCATTATACAAAACAATGGTCTGCATGTAATTATATGTAACACTGCTTACATATAATGGTTCAGATAAAAACATCTGATAGAAAAGCAATCCAATAAATAGAGTAAACATGACAGACCAAATCTGAACTTACAGACTACTCCCTGGCTACTTTGCTGTCCTGTACACACACAGTGTGTCAGAAGTCATTACCCTAGAAACACTTCACATTTCCAAGGAGAAAGAGAATTCCTATGGTAAGAAAGGTTGTAGTTAGTAGCCAGAGTGATCCCTTGTCTTGGGGGTTTGCTGGTGATACTTAGCACCTATAAAGTAAGACTGACTCTTTTATGGCCAGCACTGTTTATGTGATATACTGTTAATAGTTGAATGAATTTGAATTTTAAGATGCGTTTTTATAGAAGTACATATTGAAGACTGTTTTAAGTTATCCTATGATTCAAAGTTAGCGATTACTTATACTAAAGTGATGCCCAGGATTTATTGTAATGTTTTATTAGCTGCTACTATTTTAGCTAGCTAATTGATTTTTGCACTCTGTCTGTCTAGGTGACAACCCAATTAATCAGTCTTATAAAATGCATTAGTCATGAAAAAACAAAGAACCGTTTAGAACAATATTGATGAACATAAAGCCAAAGACACATTAACAAACTGGTTTATTTTCCCCTCTTTCAAGTCTTATTACTGTGATATTAATTATTGTGTTTTGACTTTGTCCTGTGATACTTGGCAGCAATTTTAATGACTATTCTCTAATATGAATAGCAATAGAAACCTTATGACTTAGACCATATGACACAGATACATACCCTGTAGGCCCCAACACAAGGCACTCCAGTGAACATTGACCATCTAGAATATCACCTTTTTTGTTGCAGCTTTTACTAAGTGTTTTTAATTTACCATCTAGGTCTTCCTTGTTCATTTCTAAGCTAATCTTTACAGATTATAGACTAAGTGGTAAGTAAAGCAATGATTTATTCAATGATGGATATATTCAATTCATTATCCAGGTATGGGAATATACACGTTACTATATCACTCATACTTTGACATTAGGGGAAAGTTCCTTGCCTTTGTGCTGGGGATTGATTTGTTTAGTCTAGTTTGGTCTTAGTCTAAAGGTCAGTGCTGATTTTGATTAGAATGTAATCAAATGATGCACTGGTACTAATGTGTTTCTTATTGGGAGAGACCTTTCTGTGTTAACTCACTTCAGTCCTTCTTCAAAGAGGGCAGCCAGGTAGTTAAGAGGGGAATCACAATCATAGATAGCATCTGTTTGTGCAGGATGTTTGTTTTGCTGGTAACTTCTGATTGCTTTATACATGGACATTTTTTTCCTGGTCTTCTTTCTTGTCATCCCTTTTTCCTTCTGTTTTCCTCCATTGTAGGGAGAGAATTAAGCTGGAGTCTTAGAAGTGTGAGCAAACAGAGGGGTGCCTGTTAGAAAGAAAAAAAGATGGCTTAAGGGCTGCTGGATCATTATTCTAAATGTTGCCATTAGTCCTATGTAGGGATTGTCCCCAAATAATTCAGGTGTAATAATGTAATCTTCCCCTGGCATTGTTGGCAAACACAGGGGAGACTGTAGTGCAAAGGGTGAGACTGGTTTTACCACAGCAATTTCAAAAGCTATTTTAGGTACAGGTTTCTAGCCTGTGGCCCAGAGACTGGAGGGATAAATTTTGGTTGTAATTAATAATGTGGAGTTTAAGAATTATAAATAGTAATTTAAGTTCTATTAAATGAACCTAGAGATGAGAAGCTAGGAGGGTCCTGCTTGGAAGCTCATCAGCTACGTGGAATACCCAGAGAGAAAGTTCACTAGACAAGTAAAGCAGTGATGATGATCTGTGGCTGGAAGGTAAAGGGGTAAAGGACAAAAGAGCATATGATGAGGGAATTCAGGAAGAAAACCTCAAAGATAAGGTTACAACCAACACTGTGGGTGCTCATTGACAATCAAATTTGGAAGATAAATAATGGATTGCTTCCTGATGCATGTTTGTTTTATCATTTTGGTAAAAGTGATGCCAAGGCCCAGGGTAGGCTTGGAATCCAAGACTAAGTAGGCTGAAAACAAAGAATATGCCGAGATGGAGATGGAGTTCAGTAGCATTTCATGTGAGGAGTACAGCTCTAGCCAGGGCTGATAGAAAGAAGTGAGACTGTACGGTGATGAATGTCATGGTCAGAAAGCTCTCCCGGCAGTGGTGAGATCTTTGCTTTTCAGCCTGAGCTAAGTGTCCCTAATTGCAGCACCCTGAAAGGCCAATAGATGGTTCACATCATGGGAGAGCAATCCTAGGCCAAGGGGTGGTTCACACCAGGCAAGAGCAATTCAGATTCCAAAGGAATCCTTCCAAATTATTTGTAAGCATAAGTAACATGCTCATAAGTCAATCATCCACCAGGCAACATTTTTAGAATTGTGTATGAGTGAAACCATGTGACAGTGAGAAAACTGCCCGCACATCAGCTTAAATCAATTATTTATAAGAGAGCTATAAAGCCCACAAATAGACCAGTAAAGCTGCCTATGGCTTGTACAACCAGCTATGACTCTAGCTAATGACTCACTAATGAGGGAAGCGGAGAAATGATTGTATTACATTCAGGAAAGTTTCTGCACTATAAAGGAAACATGTTGCCAGAGTAGTTGCATCAAGTCTCAGGCCAAGCTGGAATCAGGAAACACAATTATCAAGTAGTCACAAGTCTGGAAATGTTTCTCCATTGTCATTACTCAAAGGTGGGAACACAGCTAAAAGTCCAGCCAAAGTTAGGAGGTAAGGTGAAGTCACACCAGGATTCTCAAGTGCAAAGAATTTCTCAAGGAAGTCTCTGATTTTTCTCAAACCGTGAAATGTGTTCTGATTATTTATTTCAATGTATTGCTAATTTTAACAGTTATAAGTTGTCTGATTTCAGGAAACAATGTTAAGTTTCACTTTGTCTATACCATCTGAAGGAACCACCGCCTCCATTTTGAGTTTGTTATGTGGAGAATATAATTTTGCTCTTTGAAGAAATTAATTTTTAATTATTGGCAGGAAAAGGAAGGGACTTATTATTTATGCTTTCATAGGTTTCCCTGGAAATCATTAGTTTAAAGAAGACAAGGCTAACCAAAGTGTTGCTATTAATTAAGTAGAGTGACAACACCTGTATACTCCCATCTTGTCTAAGTCAGGTTTGCTGGGTTAGTATTGGGGTGGGAGAAAAATCTATAAAATAAATTAGCAAGAAATTTATAATTATTGAACTGGCATAGCAAGTGCAATGCTTTGTGCTATATTTAAAACAAAATCATTTTTTTATTTTCACATTAATTTGAATTTAATGTGGAATTTATTTCCATGGCAAAAAAAAGTTAAAAAAAAAGATCGAAACTTAAGTTTTAATGTTCAAGTGGTTGTTGTGCGTACAAAATTGCGAGTGGTTTTCAACAGAACATCAGATAACAAAATTAACACCACTGTTGTCTTGTTGCACCAGGGAAAAGCAGGAAGAGAGAGAAATGCCAGGATGCTGCCCTGTACCCGCTGGTGGAAATGGAGCCCTGTCCTTGTGATGCATTCATGTCCCATCCTTACGGAAACTGGTCAGCTTGCATTCTACCGGAAAGCAACAGGGATCCTCAGCGAGGAGGATTGTGGGTGCAAGGAGCTGGCAAGGAGTGCGGAAAAGGCGTGCGCTTTAGAGCAATAGCATGCTCTGATAAAAATGGAAGACCCGTGGACCCCTCGTTCTGCAACAGCTCTGGTAAGCAGACGGATGAGGAGCAGCAGATGAGAAGTTTCACAGAGCCCAGGAGGTTTGCCCTAGGTCTGGGAATTATCGTAGATTCATTCTTCAGTAACGACTTTCATTCTCATTTGTCAGTAGCACACTGCCACCATGGAATCAAACCATGATATAATGCACACAAACCTCTCTCCACTCTTAACTCAACTAAACCATTTGTAGATGCTTGACACCCTTGACTCCCTCCACACCCCCAAACCCTGTCTTTCCTTAATTAACCGGGGCTTATTGGTCACTGGCTTCCTGTTAGCCAGCAAGGTTGTTCCTCTTCACCAAGAAAGCTCAAGCCCCAGAGAAGTGAATGCAGACTTTATATTCTTTTTTTACTAGAGCTTTCACCATATACATGGAGTGGGGCGGCGGGGGGGGGGGGAATCACTTTTTGAATTTCTGCTGAGATAGCTAATAAAATATCAATGGGAATAAACTGACTTTCAGAGTTTCCAGTGTAAATATAAATATACACAAGTGACAAAAATAACAGAAATCAATGAGGCCATCTGGGTGAGCTTTGTTAGACATTATTTGGAAAGAAGATTGAATTTTGGAGCCTTGGAATGTCTGAGCCATGAGTGAACAGAAGGCTAAATTCAGCTGCAGTGTATATGGTGGGCAAGGCTGGGGTTGGTGGTCATGATGGAGTCTATGCCTTTCTGGCTTTAGTTTTCCCCCTCTGTTACCTTTTATTTACAAAAGCAAACAAGACATAGTTTCCAAAGAGGAGTGGAGAAAGTGGAAATTTGTGTTTGATTGATTGTGTAAGCAGATGGATAGAACTTAGCCTTAGCCATTGATATCTTGGTTTTAGAAAGGTTTTTCATTAATACCAGAAATGACAAATTAAATTTGGATCGAATGTGAGAGTAAACAAAATGGCAGGGTTTTTTTTTTTTCTCTCTCTCTTTTTATTATTATTAATTCAAGTTAGGGAACAGGCTTGTTTCACATGTAATTCCCCTCTCCCTCTCCCTCTCCCTCTCCCTCCCCATTCCTTCTCCCCCACCTCCAACCTACCCCCCACCCCATCCACCCACCACTCCCCAGACAGTGTA